AGCTAGCGATGCTCTGTTTCGCGCAACTCTCGACTCCTCTGTCAACAGCTGGAGATGTTCTCGCTTGAGTCTTCTGTTCTCCCTGATCAGGTGCCTAATATGGTGCGGTGCTGGACCATTTAGGTGTCTAGGAACTGCCGTAGTCTCGGAGCGGGTGCTGTCCTCGTGCGCTCGCAGGACAGCATTCTCCAGCTCCTCTACCGCGTTGTCCAGTTCCTCCGCTGATCGGATGGTTGGAATTTGAGTGATGTTCCTTTGGACGTTGGATTTGTACAGGTTCCAGTTCGTCCGTTTGGTGCTCAAGCTATCTCGAGTTCTAGACCCTGTGCCAAGTGTTAGTAGAATCGGATTGTGGTCCGACGATCCTTCCACCAGGGTCTCTATCTCGAACTCCTCTCTGATGTTGCGGAGGATGGCTATGTCCAGTACCGCAGGTCGACCGATGCCGAATGGAATGTAGGTTGGTTGCTCCGGACCGACGATGACCCCCGCCAGGGCATCGACGTGTTCTTGGAGCTGCCTTGCATTCCTGTCTTCGACGTTGTTGTTCCATGCCGGAGATTTGCAGTTTAGATCTCCGATGACTATGCGTGCTCCTGGGCCTCTCAGGAGGTCAGCGATGTCATCTTCGTCTAGGGCCTCCCCTGGTGGCACATATAGGGAGGTGATCCTGTAGGGACGGTGGTTGTGATGGACCTGGACCGTGATTCCGTCCCCATTGATGTCTGCGGCATCGTCGAGGACATGACTCGTCAAGGTACGTTTGACGAGTAATGCGACTCCTCCACCTCTGCCTCTTCTGTCGTAGCGGTACGTCTCGTACCGCGGGAACGTCAGACTATAGGCAGCATCCAATTTCGTTTCTTGGATGGCCATCACCTCTGGTTGGTACTGGTCTAGTATCTCCTGGATTTCTGGTTTCCGTGCCCTGAATCCGTTGCTGTTCCAGGAGATAATGCGTAGAGATTCTACGTTTTGCCCTGTAGTCATTTCGGGTCTAATGTTTGTCTTGCATCTTGGCCTCGAGTGCATCCAGGCGGGTTATGATGGCTTGCATCATTGCTAGCAGTCTGTCATCGCCGTGTTGCTTCTGCGCAGTAGTTCCAGTAGCAGTGGCGGCTGCTGGAGCAGAAGTGGACATAGGTTTCTTCGCTTTTCGAGCGTAAGAGGTCCTATTTGTGGTGGGGGCTGCTTTGGGGGCAGAAGCAGCTTTCCTCGGGGCCTTACTACATCCCTTGTAGTTGGCGGGGTGGCCTTCTCCACAAAGGCAACACTTGGCGTTTCGTTGCCCTGTTGGCGGCGCTGGCAGACTGCAGCTGGTGCTGCTGTGGTCCTCTCCACACTTAACGCACCGTTCAGCGAGAAGGCAGTTCCGCTGTGTGTGCCCGTACCGCTGGCAGCGGTAACATTGGCTGGGCTCGGAAGACTTTTTCTTCCTCTCGAAGCTGACCGTGAGCATGGCCAGCCTCTGGATCTCTGCAAGCTTTTCCGGCATCTTCGTCTTGACGAGGAAGAGCGGAAGTGGCTTCTTGGTGGTCCTTGAGGTCATCTGCTGCTCAAAAACATTTTAGATACACTCTAGTCGTAAAAAATACATATTTGAAATCACTTAAACCTATAACTAATAGAACATCTGAACAAATAAACAATGTGCGAATAAATGCGCGAAGTTAACAAAGCAACAATTGAAAGATTACCATTGGGTAACATCACCTTTATCTTTTATTACGGCTGATATTCTTTGGGGCATAGTGTTAACCAAGTTTTGTCAAAAATTTGGTGTAAAAAAATCCCATATTTCTTGAAGCTTTTGTCTCAGTGCGGTGATTGTACGAGCAGGATGTTGTCGTAGAACCTTTTTCATCTCGTGCCACAAAGTTTCAATAGGTGACAGGTCTGGACTGCTAGAAACCCATTTCAAAAGTGGTACATTATTTTTTTTCCATCCATTTTATAGCCTTTTTTTGAGGTATGGCACGCTGCACTATCTTGCTGAAACACAAACTCTGGGCCGTATGTCAAACATTCTTCCATCACAGGTAAAAGCGATTCTTCTAAAATTGCCAAATATTTGTTTGTATCCACATTTCCATCAATAAAATGAAGTTTTCCTACTCCTTTTGATGATATATTGCCCCAGACCATAACGGATGCTGGAAATTTCACGTTTCTCTTCAGACAGTCAACATGGAATGCTTCATTTTTTTTTGCGAATAACTCTACTGCGACTGTCACCAACACAAACTTCGAATCGGGCATCATCACTCCATTGTATTGCACACCATTGTTGAGGTGTCCATTGGCTATGCTCTTTAGCCCATCTAAGCCGATTTTTCTTTTGCAGTGGATTTAATAGTGGCTTTTCTTTGGCCTATAAACAAGTTGTGCAACTTTAGGGTTTTTACTTCACTTTTTTTTATAAGAAAACTTACCTTGCAAGTGCTAAAACCCAGTTTGTGGGCCTCTCTATGAGCTATGGACCTCGAAATTCTCCTTCCAACTCCACAGAGCACTTAATTGTAAATAATTGGCACGCCTGTTTTTCACGATTATTCTTCTTAATGCTCTTCGGTCGGCATTTGTGATATTACTTTTATTCACATATCGTGGCTTAATATTAACTGGACCAGTTACGTTATATCTTCTAACAATATTTCTCACGCTGTACCGCGATAAGTCTAACAAAGTTGCAATTTCTGAGTTTGATTTCCCAGAATAAAAAAATTTAATTATCAGTAACCGAATTTTCTCACTAAGAACCTTTGCTCTACACATTTAGAAAACCTTAACTACCCAAAACTATTTTAAACGTATTCTGACAGCTGTGATTAATAAAAACAATTGTCATGGCTTTTATTTTTTACAGCCACCTATGCGTTACAGAGTTATTTTGCATTGAAATGAAAATAGGTTGATATGCTGTAATTGCAACATGTGTTATTTTTATGCTGCAAATTTGATTAGGGAGTGATAAAGTTGGTGTTTCCTACTATACTAAGTGACATATAAATCCGAACACCCAGTTTAAATCGTTTTATTTTAATAAAATTTTGTATAAGTACTTAATGAAGCATAATAAGTAAATGATAAAAATTTCAAAATGATTGCACTGCTTTAAAGCCCTTTGACCTTTAATAATGTGTGGATGCACCCTGATGTGCTACGCATTCTCCAACGCGGCTCGGCATGCTTCTGATCAGGTGGTCAATGTCCTCCTGAGGTATCTCGTTCCAGGCAAACACCAACTCCTCTCGAAGTGCTTCTAGAGTCTGAGGAGGACGTTGCAAATTGAGCAATCTCCTACCCATCATATCCCACACGTGCTCAATTGGGGATAAGTCGGGAGATCTTGGTGGCCATGGTAACAATGTGACATCATTATGTTGAAAGAAGTCTATTGTGACTCTTGCAACATGTGGTCGGGCATTATCTTGCTGGAAAGTTGGATCTGCCAGGGTGTCAAGATAGGGTTCTAGAACTTCGTGGATATAACGCTGCGCGTTCATGTTACCTCTGATGAAGATTAAAGGTGACCTGAAACCATAAGCTATAGCACCCCAAACCATAACTCCAACAGTGTGATGAACATGTCTTTCAACAAAAAACTGAGGATTCCTCCTTTCACCACGTCGCCTTCTAACCCTGGCACGACCATCGTGCATGCCTAAACAAAATCGAGACTCGTCACTCAAGACAATACTGTTCCATTCCTGATCCCAGAGTGACCGTTGTCTGCACCACTCAAGGCGATTACGTCGGTGTTCTCGAGTTAAAGGGAGGACCCAGTGTGGCCGGTATGAAAACAAGCCAAAACTTCTCATTCGTCGGTAAACACTTCGCATGCCAATAGGTCTTTCGTGTTCTGCAAACCATTCATTTGCAATGGACCTGGTAGTGGAGAAACGGTCCCTTAAGGCCAATAATCTTAGGCGGCGATCTTCACGGTCTGTTGTTCTACGGCGGCGTCCAGTACCCCTTGCTCATTGCGTACGGCCTTCTCGAAGCCATGCCTGACAACACCTAACCACAGTGTCTACACTTCTTTGCACTATAACTGCAATTGGTCGAAAAGAAAGTCCAGCTTCCCGAAGTCCCACTATACGGCCCTTATCAAACTCACTAAGTTGACGAAATCGTACAGGTCTCCGTACTCTAGGCATCGTAACCGATCGTAAAGGATGTCAAGAACCAAAATCCGCCAACGTTGATTCTTTAATGCGGCTGAAATATTCATTTTTAGAGCGTTAGTGAATTAAAAAAAAGCAGTATAAAAACCGGAATGTCCAACTGATAAGGCTGAAAATTTTTTCACTTGTTATTTACAGTAAGATAAATACATTCACCAACTTTTATTTTAATAAAACCATTTAAACTGGGTGCTCGGATTTATATGTCACTTAGTATATATATTATCAAAATATTCATTGTTAATATTTTAAACCTATAACACCCTGCTACATTTTTATTATTTATGTCTGATAAGAAAAAACTAAGATTTCAATAGTTGGGCCAACTGAAGTGGGAAGGAGCTCGTATATAATGTAAAAAAACGATAAAACGCTTTCTACTAGTGAACATGAAGTGAACAACACTTAATTGACATCTTGTAGGAAATCCTACATAATGTCAAAAAACCGACATAATGTCACTTTTAAACCCTGTGGATCTCCTATCGTTTCCGAAATTGCAATTGTGAGGGTCGAATTTGAAACATCCGGTATATGCACAAAGAGGTTACAACACTGACAACTGCCACCTACAAATATTGCGTGCTTTTTAGTCGTGTCGAGACAGGTGCGAATAACTTCCCGAGTTTCTAAGAACATACCCGCTTATTTGCCTTCCGTTTGTCTCCACATGACTAGACCAATGATTAAAAAAAAACATGAAACAACGTTGTATGCGGTTGGTCGTGGCTCCATGGTAATCAACCGGTGCCTGGATCTGGCTTGTAACTGCGATTCAATTCAAGCAAATGCTAATTACCTTTTTGAACACAGGGATGGTCGTAGAGGGCCAAAACGGCCCCGGACGATTCTGACATCGGCGCAACGGCGACAGTTCAAAGCCTCCTTCGAAGTTAGTCCGAAACCGTGTCGGAAAGTACGAGAGGCACTTGCCAAAGAAACGGGCTTGTCGGTTCGCGTTGTGCAAGTCTGGTTCCAGAACCAGAGGGCGAAAATGAAAAAGATTCAGAGGAAGGCGAAACAAGAAGACGGAAAGGACAGAGATAAGGATAAAGGTAAGGACAAGAAGCAGTTCATTAATCACGTAAAGCATTTTTGATGATTTTGTGACCCCTCTCATCTCCTGGTTGGTTCGACCTCCTCCCCTCCGTTCCTAATCTACAAGAGATTTTTCATAAAGATATGTGTATTCTAATTCAGCCTATGAGAACCCATGAACGGCCTCAAGGGTGACCATTGAAACCAACATATCAATTTGAGTTTCAATAAAATCATCTGCTCTTTTAACTTCGTTCTGATTCAGCCACTCCAAGCCTGTGTCGCTTGCACACAGAAGCTCAGTAGATTGTCGTGTGGCAATCCGCGAGCGTTGTACTTTGCACGGTTAGGGATTCACTACTTGAAATCTCACTACAAATGAAGACAGGAAAAATTAAAACGATTTTGAGAAAGTTCAGTTTTTTTTCGTATCTCTCCCGAAATCCCTTGAAACTTTCTAAGCGGCATTTTGTTGGATACCTGAATAGCCAACTTTGTCCCCATTTAAGCAACTTCGAATCACTTACAGTTTCCGAGATCCCAATGGTGATGTTCGGATTTCAAACATACTGTATATACTTTGAATAAGTTAGTGTCTCATAGATGGCGCTGTAACCACCTGATATATGGGCATACAGTTTTGGCTATAGCGCGATCTAAGGGGCACTAAGCTCTTCAAAGTATATGTGGTAAATAGGGAAACATCTGTGATAAATTCTCATAGATTACGTTACAGTATCTCATTTTGCCCCGGATAATTTTTTCTATGCGGAAATATCTCATTAAGTTGGCTGTCTTCAGGTAGGAAACAATATTCAATGGAGAAGTTACAGCTCCCCCATAGGTAAATAATGGTAATGAAAAAACCCTATGCAGGTCACTAAAATGTCGCTCCTATTGAATCATTAATTCATTTTTGCATACATATTAATACAAGAATATACAAGGTCTATTTCATAGCGGCAGCGTACCTCTCGAACGTACCGCTCTGTGATGCACACATTGCGCCGGCTTTATGTTGCCAGGTGTTGGGAACATTTTGTATGTGCAATATATATTGTTGGTAGTGAAAAAATTGTATACACAGGTTGGTAGAGGCGCTCAACCAATAATGAGGTTCTTCTCCACCAAGGTATGTCATATGTTATTCAGCTTACAGATCTTTCTCAAAATGCCATTGTTGAGACACTATTATGCAGGGTGTAAAAGTAGCAGCACAACGTTTGGGGCTAGTCCCTCCTTAACGATCTAAATGGGCTGATTCTTTTCTCTAAACACCATCATGCGAAATCCCGGTTGGTTAGTTTACCCTGTCAAAATTACTTTCAATTCGAAAGCTGCTTAAGAAAATCGATTTTAAAATAGCGTCATCTGGAAGTCTGCATCTCCGTAGGGAAGCCCCATAGGATATCTTTTAAGGGGTTTATGGAATGATTCTTTTGTGAATCCAAAATATAGATTCTGATATCTTTTGTATTATTTGAGGTTTTTTGGTGATTCAATAGTTCGGTATTTTTTCAGGTGATAAAGATGACAAGTCGGTCAAACAAGAATCTCCAGGAAGCGAGCATAGCCATTACATGGGGGTTGGTGGAGATGGACATTTCAGTGGATCCAGTCAACCCCTCAATCCCAACGTGCCCTATTCTCCTGACGGTAATTTTTCTTTACTCTCACAATTTAAGTCAAATTCAATTTCGAGCATAATAAGCTTCGTTATTCTCTCATATTTCATTTATTCAGAGGCAGTCGAAACGTCCGCGACATCTTTCTTTCAATGTAACTGCTTTAATTCATTGATTAGAAGCTGCAATACGAGACGTTGCAAAAAGGATGCAAATTACACAATTTACGCCTCTCGATGTTTTATGGCGGTTCTCCGCTAAACGGGCAAAACAAAAAAGTATGCAAACTCGTGTCAAATAAAACAAAACTGTAATTTTTCGCAAACTTTTTGAAGATTGCCGTGTTTTGCATCAGTAGCAGTTTTGTTTTTCGTGTCCCGCTCGGAAGCGGTCACATCAAAAGGTTTCGACGTATTTTTAAACTAGTGTGTTTAGTGGAAATGGTCGTGTTGTGTTTTCGATTTTCGCCTTGCTAGTCTGAATAGGAATTACCAAATTAGTAGATACGTAAATAACGTATTTTTTATGAGTACATTAAACTTTGATAACTGTCCCCAGTAGCAAGGAACCTCAGTCTTACTGCCCATCGATCTTTAAGAGAAATTAAATCTCTAAAGTTTGTGTTTAGCTTTACAACTTTTATGTCCATTAAAGTAATTAGCTCTTCAAAACCAGAGGAAGACATTTTCAGAAAATTATGAAATGATGTGAGATGTTCCTCAATTAATACAATGTCATCATTTTGGATATCATTCATCAATTGTGCAGTAACATTGTTTACTCTTCCAGATAGATGTGATCTAACCCAATATATGTGTTGGCGGTATCTTCTCCTCCTAAAAAATAATACTATTTTAATGAATAATATAGGTACGGTTGAAGAGTTTACTTGGATAGTTCATAAGCACACATAATTACAGACACGGTTATTTTCTTATAGACACCGTACATAGCTATATATACATTTACTTTTTTCCAACCAGCCTTAACCAAGAATAAAAAAGCTTCTTCTCAAGATATGTTTGTTAGTTATTGAAGGAAAACAGGCGACTACCAGTAGAAAAGGACCGAAGAAAAAACAAAGCTCCCTTGTTGGAAACAAGAGTTTTGGGTTTGTTTCAGTTTCGTTCTTGTTTCTCAAGTCTTAGAAAATACAAACACAATATAAACTTATCTAACCGTTTAGTGGAAAGAAAACCGTCTTTATAATGGAATAGTTACAAATGTGTTTCACGAGATCTCAGCGCGGTACAGGACCATTTCAGGCTCACGCACAGGAACACGCTGCCTAGTGGCGGCAAAAACAAATCAACTCACCTGGCAGACAAGAATGTAAAATTACAGAAAATGGATTGAAGAGAAATATGTAACCGAATCATTATACAAAATTGACATGTAGCATTAGTGGTAAATAAATCTTCAACAACAAAAATAATACATAACATACCTAGTTTGAGAAGTGGGCCATTATTGGACGAGCACTTTTATAACCTGCGACGCCTAGAGGATATAATGTTTGAAATCAATAATAAAAATCTCAAACGTGGTATGTGTAAGACACTATACCGGGTAATGTATTATCTGAAACATACCCTATGGTTGTCCTGTTCATAATCCCCCATGTTTGTCGGGCCGAATCAAATCAGATTCAGATAGATAAACATTAGGGATTACTATACCAGGTGTTTCAAATTCGACTCTCGCCATTGTCATGTTGGGAACGGTAAGAGATTAATAACTAATAAAGTGGCACAGAGAAAGTTTTACAATTCAGAATTCATAAGCTGAATATTTCCAAAATAATATATCAATTGTTTCCTGGATTCATTTGAGGTGGGATTTCAAAATAAAAACATCATCGCCACTTTTTCTCCTGTACAATTTGACATAATTATAATTTCAATATGACATGTCGCCTCTCGTCCTCAATCATCAACTTTATTTCTTTTTAGAGACGCCGTGCTGGATTGTCGTACAGTTGAATAAAGCTTTTAATCCTGATTCCAAAAATAATATGTTATACATTCAAACCTAAGTTTTTTTAAAAAAAAAACTAATATTTTAATAGATGGCTTTGGCACATATTTTTCCGAGTTGCGAAACTTTCTAAGTACCATTTTCTTTATTACCTAAATATGTCACTTTGCCCCCATTTGGCTTAGGCCCGGTTTCTCAATCGTAAGTTAACTGCAGCTTATCTGCTAACCAGAAGTTAGCTTTCTAAAAGAGTTTTTCAATATCAAGTTTGTCCTAAAGGTGTATGGTTTGTTCTTACAGTCGTCGGTAACTTATCGGTGACTGTCAAAATCAGAGGGACGTTACCTATTCGTACAGTTTCTGACTGTTTACCGACAGTTAGTCAACTGTTCGGACAGAACCTTCTGACAGATCAGAGGACCCCAGTCAACCAGTGACAGTGACAGGTATCAGAGTGTGTCGAAACTACCTTGAGGACTAAAATTGCTTCGCAAAAGGCATTTAATGATCGATAACTCTTCTCTAATGGACGGTCTGGGGACACCTTCACATCGCTGCGTCGTTGGCGATCTAGCTATACCAAAGGGCTTTGCTCCTCAGAGCTCTCTTCCATGGTGTCGCCGCGCGATGTGCCTGCCTGACTTCGGTCTCCCATCGTAACCGTGTCGAACTTCGTACATCCATAACTGGCCGTTAAGACCGCTCCTTTGTCCCGTGGGTGTCGAGATCGTGTAACAATCTTCATGAGGAGATTTTTCCAGTTCTACTAGGCACTTCAACAACGGGATTAACAAACTTTCTTTAAGCTCCTCAAAGCAGCCGCGGTGCCCTGTCATGTAGGGTTCACCTGCGCGGCTACTTCGGTTTAAAAAAAACTGAGCGATATATCAAGAAGATGAAGATCTTGAAGACCTACTGAGGGGAGAATAAAACCCAAAAACCTTAATTTTGTAGAGAAAACAGTGTCACAATTCAACAGAACCAAGTTTTTGTAACATTTTCGGGTGAGCAAGTGGCAGAAGAAATTTTAATGAAATTCTATTTTAAATATCAGCCAGCGCCAAAGTGCTTTCTGCTCAATATTTTGTTCATTGGCCCAGTAATGGCAAAATGAAGATTATGAATACAGTATGAAAAATCCGAACAATAGAGGACATAACTTTCAAGAACCATAATTAATACGATTTTTGTGATCACTAATCTTTTGAAAATTTTTGTTACAGTTGCAAAATGCGAAATTAGGCGATTTAAGTCTCAGTTCTTTTTGTCCATGTTGAGAATTCTGTGAAACATAACTATGTAAGCAGATCTTGATAATTGTAGTTATGTTCAGCCGTTTTAGCTTTTTAGTGTATAACACCCTTTATTATTCAAATACGTTATTGAATCCTTGTAGTATTTTCACTTCTTTCTTCTAGTGAGAGTCTGCATATACAGGGTGTTTCTAACTTGGCACTCACCATTGGGATCTTGGAAATTGTAAGGGATACGAAGTCGCTTAAATGACACTTAGAAGGTTTCGAAATTCAAAGTACTGAATTTTCCCAAAATCGTTTTGATCTTGACTTGACTTTATTTATATTGGGATTTTAAAATAAATTGCTAAAGTTACGTTTTCTCCTCTACAAGAAGGCATAATCAGAATTTCTATATGACGGTTCGTCTCTTGTCCTCCAGCATCAACTTTATTATTTCTTAAGGACGCCATATTGCATTTTTGCACAGGTGAATAGAGTTTTTAATTTTGAGTCAAAAAATGCATCATCGTCAAGACGTCACACATTGACGCTGTCAAACGTTGGTTACTTAAAAAAAAATTTCTTAGGTAGGCCTTGAAATTATCAGATGTTTGTTTCGCTCACCAGATTTATCCCACAAAAGCTCTATTTTTTCCAGACTTTATTTGAGATGGAACTTCACAATAAATTACATATTGTCCTTGTTACTTATTCTCGTGTACAAAATGATGTAGTCAAATTTTCAATTCGACATTTCTTCTTTCGACTTCCATCATCAAATTTATTTTTTCATACGGACACTATATTGGAATTTTGTACATTTAAATGGACCTATCAGCCCTAAATTTATTGATGTATTTCCTTAGTTGACCATAAATTTGTTGTTGGATGAAAATTAAAAGGAAATAAAAAGATATGGTGAAACCGGAATGCGAAATGGAAATTTTATTAATGGTAATAACAATAATAACCATAAGTAAGCAGACGTATTCACAGTCTTCCATAATCTGTTGCTATGCAAACAAATGAAATTTGATAATTTCAAGGCCTACCTAGGAACTTCTGGAATAACTACGGTTTTGCAATGTCAATGTATATACAGGGTGTTTCAGTTTATTGTTGCATAACTTTAAGATTCGATAGAACTTTTAAAATTAATGCATAAAGTCTATATAAACATGGGTCGAAAAATGCGTGGCTTCCGAAATACAGGGTGTTTAAATTTACTTTCTAAAATAGTTTTTTTTAAAATATTTCGAACAATATTTGATGTATAACAGTGAAAATTGGTATACAAGGGTTTTTTGGTACGACAAAACGAACCATGGGCATAGTTTTACTGTAGCCGCTGAGGGCGCTGTCTACTGTACCTGTAGTGTATTAAAATGATCGAAAAATACTTCTTAGTGCAATTTTTTGATTTTTGAATAAAAAAACTGATTCTTCGCGCTTTTCAACATAAAAAAGCTCTCTTGTGAGTTTTCGTTATAGTTAGCCGTTTTTGAGATATTTTGATTTTTAGGGTTCGATGCATTTTTTATTATTTATGGGAAAATAATATTTTTTTTTTACATTTTCGATTTGGGCATTACAAGTAATTAAGATAATCGTTTAGACTGAGTTTTTAAACACAGCAATAATTCCTAACTCCAAATAAACACAAAAAACAGAATATTAATTTGTTTAATTTTCCAATATTATTTTTAACAAATTAAATTAATTATTTACAACTAAAATGCTATTGTATAGTTAGGACAAACATACAAAATCTAAAGTAGTTGTTCGAAATGTAAATCCAATTGTTCAATACACAATT